GAGTCGGTCAGGGCAGACGTCGCTCTGAGGAGGAGCGGTCCCACACCTTCGCCAAAAACAGACGAGGACCAAGACACACACCTGGACTCAGGGATGCAGATCCCCTCACCGGGGGACGCATGGGCCGTAGCTCCACAAGAAGGACACATAGAGCCCCTTAGGACAAAAATGGAGAGAAAAGCCCAGCAAAAGTCACAGCATTAAACCAAACTTCTCTTGCGCTGTCATCTGAGCAGTTCCCTGTGACCCCCAATGATGCAAAATTTCCAGGAAGATGGCTTTGGGTCACAGCCCGGGACCAATCCTGTGCTATCGGCAAATACATGGACACAAAGTGTGTCACTGCTGATGGGAAATGTGCTCTCCTAGCCCGGGCACTCGTAGCGATTGACTTTGGGCACGTTTCTGATCATGTGCAAGTATATAGGCATCCAACGACCATCGACTGCTTTTCCCATGTTTTCAAATACCACCAGATTTACAGACCTTTTGGTAGAGATCAGGGAAAAAAGCAGAACGCAGTGCATGAGCTTTGAAACAAACAACCAGCATAAGGACATATCCCTCGGTTATTCCTCCTTGCTAATGCAATACACCATTATTTTTTAATTCTTAGCATTTAGTCAGCCTCCTAGAGCTTGATGCCACACTGATTTCACAGGGGTTTGCTCAACTTCCAGCCTTCGCTCTGTGTTTGTCTAGCGTCACTAACCCACCGTGCTGCTGTGCAGTACAAAAGGACTTTGATATTACACATACACGGGGCTGAAGTTTAAATCTGTAAGAGAACAGGAGTGATCTCCAGCCAGGTCAAACAATACAATGTCCGACTCCATGTCCTCTTTACATCACCTTATCAATAATAAACAGAAACTTTAAAAGCTTCAATCAGCTGAAGAGCTCAGCTCTAAGTCTAGCCCAAACGATGACTACCTGGCGTGCTTTGCCCTCGTTGCAAGGAGGCAGAGCCGCTTCTGAGCTGAAGCTCATCGTTGCAATAGATTTAAAGCCTGCTGGAAAACCTGCTATAAACTATACGGCTGCGTGAAATGTCTGTTGAACCAACAACAGCTTTCACCCCTCTCCTTTGTTGTGGCTTTTAGCCATGAAAAACAGTTAATAGTAATTGTTTATTGAGGTAAACGTGGAAACCCCCATGCTGATGGTCAGGACAGACCCTGGCCCTCAGGCAGGGGCTGCTACACGTGCAAGAACAGCAGCACAGCCTACAGCACATGATAAGCATTTTAACATGGCTGCAAATATCTTGCATCAGAAAGACTTGCATTGAGGGGGTGGGAAAGGGCTATCTCTCCTCATCCCACTCCCTTGGAACCAGCGGAGCTTCACCATTGACTTCCCTGGAAACAGGATCAAGTTCAAACTGCTTCAGAGTATTACTCAAGCTACCTCCTGGCTGTCACCAAGACACTTCAGTCTAGCAGGGATTTAGAGGTGATATGCACTTGCCAACGTACCCACTTTCTAGCGGTGGGGAAAGATTTGCTTATGTGTATATGTGTATTCTTCATCGCTCTCTGGAGAGAGACAATCTCCCTTGTGAGCTCCAGCTGCTATTGTCCAGGTCACTGCTATTGTTATTCCTCAGGCCAGCTGGCAGCTCATGTGACTCATGGTTGCTTCAATAAAGATGAATTTCTTGCAAAAGGCTGTCATTCCTTCTCTTTTTTTCTGCCGTGGATGAGGCTGCCTGCTTTGCTTGGGGGTTTGCGTCATGGAGAGCCCTCAGTAATTCTTTCAGTGCTGGGAGGAGATGTTCCCCGGGCAGCTGGCGCTTGCCTGCCCGAGCAGCGTGCCTTAGCACCCAAGAGGGAGAGGATGACATTGGTCCTTTGAAGGAAAAGGAGCCTCTCATCAGCCTCATCCCACCCTTGGCCAGCTGCTGGGGGAGCAGGCATGCACTTCGCGAGGAGTAACGCAAGCAGGGGCAGAAAAAAAGCTTAAAGACACATTTAAGCAATAAAGATCAGAGTATTTGTGTGAAAGAAATCTCTACGGATTCATTTTTTTAAACACTAGGTAGTCAGGTCTCGCCCAGTGCTCTGTGTTGGCAGGACCACTGGTGATGTTCTGCCATAACAAAAAACACTGGAGACTGAGAAAACTGGTGGAGTGTATGTTATCAGTGTGGGTTACCTGCTTAAGCCTCATCGACTCTAAAGTAGAAAAGACCTCTGTTAAAGCTTCACCACCAGGACTGCTAAAGCTTTAGGTTCTCCTTCCCAGGTCAATTTTGATGTAAAGGGGTGATTATGGGTTGGAGTAGCATATATATGATAAAGAAACCTGAAAGGCTATCATATCCCTCTCCCCGAGCTCTCACTTGAATCACTGGTGCTCACTGAAACTTCATCAGAAGTAGTAGGCACCTTTCCAGCACCAGCCATGTAGGTATGCATAGCTGCTGTTTTCACACCTCTGCAATGACTTCTGTTCATGCTGGCAGCAGGGATGAGAACACGACCTGCACCAAACCATCTCACAAGGGGGTAACGTGCCTGGAGAAAAGCATTGTTTCTTCTTCTCAAAAAGCAGCAGGCTGGAAGCATGCAATTTCTTGTCCCAGGGAGCTGGAAGTCCCTTTCCTTCCTCTGATAGCCAACTGTGGGGTTTAGGTAATTTTTTTGGTACAAAATACTCCAACAAACTATCACAAAAAATCACAGAATCACAGAATCATTAAGGCTGGAAAAGACGTTTAAGGTCATCAAGTCTAACCATCAACACAACACCACCATGCCCACTAAACCATGTCCCAAAGTGCCACGTCCACACGTTTTTTGAACGCTTCCAGTGATGGTGAGTCCACCACCTCCCTGGGCAGCCTGTTCCAATGCTTGACCATTCTCTCAGTAAAGAAACTTTTCCTAATATCCAATCTAAACCTCCCCTGGTGCAACTTGAGACCATTTCCTCTTGTCCTATCGCTGGTTACTCAGGAGAAGAGACCAACACCCACCTCACCCCAACCCCCTTTCAGGTAGTTGTAGAGAGCAATAAGGTCTCCCCTCAGCCTCCTCTTCTCCAGACTGAACAACCCCAGTTCCCTCAGCTGCTCCTCCTAAGACTTGTGCTCCAGACCCCTCACCAGCTTCGTTGCTCTTTGGACACGCTCCAGCACCTCAATGTCCTTCTTGTAGTGAGGGGCCCAAAACTGAACACAGGATTCAAGGTGCAGCCTCACCAGTGCCAAGTACAGGGGCACAATCACTTCCCTGCTCCTGCTGGCCACACTATTGCTGATACAGGCCAGGACGCTGTTGGCCTTCTTGGCACCTGGGCACACTGCCGGCTCATGTTCAGCCGACAAAAAATCCCTGCCCTGCAGTCAATGTGCTTGCACTTACTAGTCCCTGATTTGCTGCTCACTATGGGCAAATTACAGCTCTTGTGCAACCGGAGCAAAACCCCAGGGACCTACTTGTAAGCACTGCTGAGATTTACTCGGTGTTGAGAAGAATGAGCAAGAGAGAGATTTTGTTGGGATAAGAGCGTGGAGCTGAGCAGTGGGGATGCGAAGCCGGCAGCCAGGCTAGGAAACGCCTGCAGAGCCAGTGAGCCTTCCCGGGGCTCGCACAAGCAGAAGCTGGTTGTTATAAGTATGTCAACACTCAAACTCTGGTAGGAAAGAAATCCCTATCTATGTAGGCCTATGCAGAAGGAAAAAAAAAAAATTAGAGAGAGACCAAAGGTGCAAAGTTAAATATTTAATTGCGAATTGGCTCCAATTAATTGTCAGTTAAGCTCCAGCAATTATCATTTAGTTCCACTAAGGTTACCTGGGCAATTGCAGTTTGGCCTCTCTGTGGGTATCCGTTAACTTGTGCTCATGGGTTACCCTTTTCCTTTTATTTTAGACAACCCCCCCAGGTCTATCGGATGGCATAGGAAGAGGGAGCAAACTAAGGCCAGGCGATTACCTGCGGGGCTGGGCAAGAAGCCTTTTGTGCTGTTCTCCATCCTTCGCTACCCAGCACCGCTCAGGTCCTGCTCTGCCGGCACCAGCATTCGTTTCCCCTGAGGCTTTACGTGGGGCTCACCACAGGTCCGTGGGTGGCCCGACCACAGCTTGCTTACGAGCCGGGGGAGCTTTCCGAGCGCCTGCTCCGACGGCAGCAAATGCTGCTTTGTCAACGTCCTGCTCGTGCAGAATCGCAGGTGAGCGGGGCGCAGCTTCGCACCGCAGCCCAGGATGCTCAGGGTTTCTGCAAATTGGGTTTTTCCGTACCCGGAAAAAAAACCTGAGGAGCTCGGAGCACTTGTGAAAAGCACAGGTTAAGCAATTTACTGACTCTCTAGCGGGTTTCGGTGGTGAGGAGAGTGGGAATCTTCCAGCCTCGTGGTGCGCGGGCTTGGCTCGGCTCCAAAATGTTTTGCTGTTTCCTGCCCTATTGACGGTGTGTCTGCCAGTTCCCGCTGCCGCCCAAACACAACTTCCTCACGCAACAGCCCCATTGCTGTGCAGCTCGGATTCATGCCTGCAGCGAGCTCCTAAAGGAGACACTGCTGAGAAAGCCCTTCCGAAGCCCTGCAAGTCGGCAAATTTGGGTGGACCTTTGCAGCGCTGGGGTGGTAAGCAAGCCGTGTCCTGCCAAGGTAAAGCTGTGTTTCCAAGCTGCAGACATACGAAATATTTCTTGAAGAAATAGTTGATAGACTCTTTTTTTTTTTTTTTTTTAACCAGGTGCAGCAGCAATGTGTTTGCAAAAGCAGCTGGCTATAATTCTCCTCTAGAAATGCAGCCAGAGGTGGTAGATGCTCAACGCAGGAGATCTCGGC